GAACTGATTTTCATCTTCTCCTCCCTCATCCTTCTCACCATTTGAAAGGTAGGAAGCTGGATGCAGCTAAGGAGCAAAAGGGAGGGAGGAGGGAGCTGAGGATGAACACAGCATAAGAGTTTGACTCCTTAACTGGGTTAATTTGTCTCCTGACATGCACATAGAAAGCTTAAGAGAAAGCTACTGGAAAAAAAGTAATTGCAAGACATGCGCTACTCATGTAATTGCTGACATGTCTAATGCTGTTATTCAGGGCAGCTTTGAAATACTAGACTTCTTATTGAGGGATAGAGGGATTACATTTCCACTGCGTGCAATTTGAAGAGATGCATAAAATAAGGAAATGCAAGTTGTTATGAAGAAGCCTAGTATTGAATTAGTTTAAATGCAACTTGTTCAGAACAATTGATTTTTTATGATAAATAAATGGATTTGTATGCCCAACCAACTTTTATTTGGCAAGCCAGTTTCCACCAAGCAACTGCTAAACTGTTGAATTTATTGTGCAGCATCTGCTCTTTAGAAATGTGGAAAACCATAAAAAATTATACAGTATGCACATATAAACATATGTCAATTTTGAACCATGAGCATGTTCTTTATATCCTTCACAAATCTGTAAACACACAGCATTACTTTGGATATTGATTTAAATTTTGGAAATTTTTTTTGTTTGTTAGTGGCTTTTGTTTGCTTGTTTTAACTAAATAGACTAATTGATGCTTAGCAGAAGATTGAAGTTGGTTTAAATTTGGGACTATCTACATCTACTAACTGAAACAGAGCCAGTACCACTTTTCAAGTGTCCTATTTTTCAAAGCAGAACTACGAGAAAAGACAGAATACCTCGAACAAAACTACCCAAATGCTGAGGGAAATCTGTATCAGTCTCAGTCCTGAAGTGAAAGCCCTGTGTTAAGGTGATGCAAGCAGATGGACAGACAGCCTGGGGAAGCCAAATCTGCTGGTAGTCAGCTCACGGAGGCTTTGGTCCCAATGACCATAGTAAGGCACCAAGGCAAGTTCTACCCCTGAAAAGAAGCATCAAGAAAGCGAATGTTCTGGGCAAGCACTCAGCCTTGCAGCCTGCTCCCCAGGCCCTGCAAGGTGATGGGTGCTGGCTCTTGCCACCATTGCCAGTCCTGGGCCTGTTCCCCATGCCACAACAACTTTTTTTTTTTTTGCACAGTTCACCTGAACAGGGGACTTTCAAACTCTGGACATGAGGAACTTTCTTCTCCTGTGGGCCTGTGGCTGCTATATCTGGATGAGAGATGTGCTTGACTTCCTCTGAAGGGAAAAGGCAACAAACACCCTCAGGATGGCCCTAAGGGAACCAATTTCTCAATGGGTGTATAAAGTTCTCCAGCAGAACTTGACTGTTTTGAACTACATCATCAGGGAACATTTTCAATAATGAAGTCTCTCTTTCACAACACCGTGGGATTTCCATACTCCAGCCAAATGCATTTTCTTTGAGTAAGTGACATTCTGATGTGTTCTGGGACAACTCCATGGGCACTTGCCAAGACACATGCTGGCTTCTTCAGACAGAGACACACAGCAGTTTAAACTTGGTTTAGCTCATGAGTCTCTAGTAGCGACAGGCCATCTGGCACATTTCAGTGAAACTGGCACTTTCTGCTGAGAGGGGTCCAGGGCTTATGTAAGACAGACATGGCAGGACAGGAGTAAAAGGCACTGGCAGGGCTGTGTGCACTCAGCTTGCATGGCAGCACTCAATCCAAGCCAGCAGAGGCAGGATATAACTCATCAATCCACCTGCAGCGACAGAGGCAGCGCTGGGAGCAGAGCAGGAAGACAAGGAGTGCTGGGGTGAGGCTCAGGAGCAGTGCAGGAGCAAGCAGCCATGGGACTGCTGCTGGGAGGGGGTATCATTCCAAATGGAGCTGTGGGGAAAGCCACGCTTGAAGTCAGGGGGTATGGATCAGAATGAAGGTGTATCGAAACCTCTTGGGAGGCGGGCAGACTAGTGCAAAGATTTTAGACTGCATGCCTCCTTTGGATTATGGTAGCAAAGATGCTGATACACAGGATCAGACAGTCCACAAAACAGGAGAATCTGCAATGAGGTTGGGAATGTGTGGCAAACTGGGAAGCGTGAAGGAGGCTTTTTGTACTGAAAAGCTCTGCTGTTGCAGCACTGACTTCCTTCTGACTTGTTTTGGCAATGTTGTATAAGACCAAGTCTGAACCAGTGGGAGAAAAAAGTATACGTGTTTGGTCCTCCTGCCAAGAATGAGGCTACTTTTAAGATGCAATTATATGAAAATCAAAAAGAAGATAAGAAAGCCAGTTTTGTTGCTGGTTAGTATAATGAGATGTTCCTACAACAGTCTGATAACTGCGAAAATAGAATTAACAATTCATCTACAGAAACTAAAGCTTTACTGAGAAAATTTTTTCTCACTACATGAGAAATGTGCAACTCCATTTACTGCAGCAGCTGCCATTATGTGCATTGGCTGACAACCTATTCTGGGCATGGATCACAGCACTACTCAAAATGTGCCCTCAGGCATTCTTTTCTATATTCCATACTCTAAATGGAACATTGGACAATGTCTGACACATGCACACAGGTGCTACACAGACTGGTCCCATCCTACTTTCTCTGTGGCTTGCCCATAAAAGTGAAAACCTAACCAAGAAGATAATGGTGTGATGTGTTCTCCTTTGACTGACCTACTGAGAGCCAAAAGACTGGGAAGGGGATAGGAAAATCTACTTCCAGAGCAGATTGAAATGTGTCTTTGGCACAGCATACCTGCACAAATTCATCATACATTCAAAAAAGTTTTTTCATCCTTTTTCCCAGATTTCAATTTGCCAAGAGAGGACCATTATTGATAACTCCCTGAGGCTTCTTCTCCTTGTGTTACCCAATACCTCATTCACACCTAAGGCATCAGGACAGATGAAAGGAAAACAGAGATGAGCAGTTGTCTCCCTGGTATTCAAACTTTAAATCAAACACCCACTTTGCTGTACTATAAACAGAACTGCCTGTTAGGTGCACCAAGGCACTCCTGTAATATTTCTTTTCCTTTAAGATTTTATATTTCTCCTGTGAGAAGCAATTACAATAGAAGTGTCAAGCAAAAATAAATCCCTGTTAATCACAGTCACTGTGAGCCTGCCAAGTAAATCACATCTCAGCGTTGCTGTTCCATTTCTCAGGTAGAAATAAAAAGTGTGTGAGAATGCCATGGTCTAGAATTGAGCTCTTCCCAAGAGGAAGTACAAAGTTTTTGAAAATACAAGTTCTTCTGCTGTGTTCATTACATTGTGTGGAATTAGACAAGCAATAAAACTGAGTATCCACTGACCATAAGAGTAATACAGGTTAGAAGGATTCTCTGAAAATTGTCTAGTCCAACCTTCACACAAAGCAAGGCCAAATGAACAGTTAGGTCAGACTGCTCAGCTCAGCTGGGCCCAGGGGTTTCTGAACAGCTGCAAACCACTGGTTCCACAGCTCCTCCGGGACACTGGGCCCATGCTCACCTGCTCTGACCATGAACAACTTTCTTTCTATATGTAAATCTAGTTGGGATTTCTTTCCCTGCAACTTGTGTAGATTGTCTTTTGTACTTTCAACATGCACTTCTAAGGAAGTATCTGAACCTTTCTTTGTAGCCTCTCATTCCCTACAGCTTGTCCTTCCCCAGACTCAACAAACCCAGTGCCCTCAGCTTCCATTCAAATGTAGGTGCTCCTACCTCTTCACCTATCTATTACAGTCAATCACTAATAGCATACATACTTTGCTTTTGGTTTTGCTCTACAAATAGGCAGGTCTATGCATCTGAAAGGAAAAATAACAAATGGAGAAAACTTTGGGTTGTCCACTGGGCTGTTATTTTCCCATACTTTTCAAATTCAGAGGCTTCATGAACTGTCCATGGGAGCTGCCATCAAATCACCTGAAGGGAATGGTACTGAGATTGTTCCCCTCAAAATATAAGAATTTCTATAGGCTTTGGAGAGAGGTTTTGTTCTTATTTTATCTTTTCACAGTTCTCTGTGTTGTGAAAACTAGCCATTTCAAGACAATGCAATTGCAGCTGGTGTTCCAGAACTAGGAGCAGTTCCCATCATGCCAGAGAACTGCTAACCATGGTTTAAAAATCCTGTGAGGTCTCCTATTTCCTTTTCAGTAACACGCAGTGGCTTGGTGACTAGATCGATTACCTTTTTAATGCTATGAATTTTAACCAGAATTTCAGAAACCTCTTTTAGCTGAGTCAATCTTAAGACATCCATTCTATGTATTGCAGACTTGAGCTTATGTGAGTCAGTTTTCAAATCAAATAAATGGTTATTTTCCCCAGGAACCTTCAGGAACACTACTACTGAGTCAGTGAAAACAGGTACCAGAAATCCAAGTACAAATCCTCCATACAATTTACATCACCCTGAATAAACTCATCATCTATCAATGGCAGAGGTCTTTGTTGCATTGGAACAGAACTCTGTCTGGAAATATGTGGAGGAATGGTCTTGTACTCTGACTCCCCGTTTCTGCATCATCCACACTTTTGTACACAGAACTTTAACAAAGCAGTACACATGCATAAAAAGTATTTCACATTCCTCTACCTGTGATCACAGTCCAGTAAGAGTATTTGGGTATGAGCAAGGAAACAATTTCAATTTTCTTTCCTGAACTCTTACCTAAGATTGTCTTACTCCTGTCACAGGGAATGACTCTGACTGGTGATACTTTGATATGTAACATTTTTTAATAACTCACCCCGAGGAAATATAAATGCTTGTTTACTAAAACAGAACAAAGGGATCTTTGTTCAGGTGTAAGGAATCTTACTCCAGCATGTAACAGAACAACATATAGAAAAATTAAGTGGAGTGGGTTATTTTTTCCTCACATCCCTTCTTTTTTTTGTGGCTTTAGTATGTTTGTTTAGAGCCAGCAAGTACCAGCTGACATTCTCTTCTCTGCCAATTGCAGTTCTTACCGGTGACCACGCTGGGGATTTTGGACAGAAAGCTCTTGACAGTGCGGATGGGAACTCCACCTGTTTTGTCATCTTGCATTCTCGTAACGATGTCTTCAATCTGTCAAAAGAAAGGAAAGACTTTGTGATTTATGCAAAATGGTGACTTTAACACTTCTATACCATGAGTGCTTTGGCGCCCTGCTGGTAGAATGGGTTTCAAATATACCATGTGTATTACTGCACAAACACAGAGATAGAGACACTGCTACCTGCCCAAATTTAAACCCTGAGATTAGAAACCATGAGATAACATAGACTAGCTTTGAAGACAATGGTTGGATACTGACAATCCAGCTGCAACTGTGCTTTTTTTGCTGACCAGAGGTGATAGAAAGGTGGTGTTTGCTCCACAGATGAAATGGACTGCACTTCAACCAGTTTAAGGAGGTTCACATCCAGTCCACTTTCCCCTCTGCCCCCACATTAATTTGAATCCTCAATACTGTAACCCTGGGAGAGCTTTCATGTTTCCCAAGGGTCCCAGACAGTCACCAACTTTCTATGGCTTGAGAAGAGTCTAAGATAGAACAGCTGCAGGACAACTTCCCCTGCCTCTTTTTTTTTTTTTGCTAGAATGCTACATGTCCCATGGTCAGCACACAAAGTAAATAATCAAAAGTAAAACAGTTATAGAGGAAAACTCATTGGATTTTCAAAGCCAAGCTACCTTTAAGTTCACAGGCACACACAATCTATCACATACAGAAAGATACACGATCATCTTCAAAAGCCTTGGCAATCAGAGGATCCAATTACTGGGGGAAGGAGCTTAATCCTCCTCCTGCTTACTCTGAAATGGGAAGGGATTTTTGTTCCTTTTAAGGCTACTTGCTATGCATTTACTTGAAGGCAGCACCAGGGAGAACAAAAACTATAAGCACAATACAGAAATTCAGTATCTCCAAAAACTCCTTTCAAGTTAATAAGGTCTCAGAAGTCCAACAAAAATAACCCCAAAGCTGTTGTCTCTGTTAGCTCAAGCAGTCAACAGCACAGCCCCACTTGCTGTTGTTGACAGGTGGCTCAGGGCAGCCAGACAGGGAGCACAGCCCTGATTTTACCTAAAGATTGCTTCCTCACAGATGCTACAAAACAGAACCACAGCAGAGAGGTTACAGGATGAGAGCACAGCCTCTCTGTCTCCTAAAGGCAGCCTAGAGCTCAACATGCTCTCTTCATCTCTGGGAAGCCACTTCATTTGCATAAGCAAGTGAGTTTTTTTTCACAGATTTAACACCTACATTTAAAAACAAGTTTAATTTCAAGCCTTCCCGAGGTGGTAAGACAATCCCCCTGCCAACTTCAGGCACTGAATTTGATTGCTGTGTTTTAACCTCAGGTTACCACTTAACTGAACTGTTCGCACCTTGTTTATATATTGCTTTTAATTTAACACTTCCTGAACTAATTCTCAGTGGGAATGAAATCACAAAGATGAAAATATCCTGACATTTTCAATATATTACATGAGCTTTGGTACTTAGACAGTTAATTTGTGATAGAATAACAATACTTTCTCCACAAACAAATCACTATGAAAATTAATACCACTTTTCCCTTTTGCCAGAGCCTTATGCAAAATTGTTTGCTGATCAGAGCGCTCAGCTTTTTTCCAGTCTGAGGATATCTGAAGAAGTAACTGCTCATCTCTGATACCTGGAGAGGTAATTGCTCTGCTAAAGAGTGGACAAAAAGCATTTCATTTTGTTGAGAGGAGCCTGACAGCATCCCTTGTTATCAACCCAGACCTGCAAGGCTGCAGCACTCCAGCATCAGACCTATGGGGTGACAGGGCAGCTCAGTTGCTTGCGAAGCGTGGACACAACATCTCAGGATGGGTCAGGCCAAAAGGAACCACTGTGGCTCATCTGGTTCAAGCTCCCTGCTCAAGCAGGGTCATCCTAGAGCACATGGCACAGGATTGTGTCCAGGCTCTTGAATATCTCCAGTGAGGGAGACTCCACAACCTCTCTGGACAACCTGTTCCAGTACTCAGTCACCCACACACTAAAAACACTTTTCCTCATGTTCATGTGGAACTTCCTGTGCATCAGTTTCTGTCTGTTGCCTCTTATCCTGTTGCTCAGCACCATTGAAAAGAACCTGACTCCATTCTGAGTCTTAGACTTCATCCAGGAAGGTCAGCAAGACTTACAAGGCAATGAAAGTCCCTCTGTGTTACCAAGTACGTATGTGTCTTTATCTGTATGTACTTGTAGCTGACATCAGGGAAAGATTTTCCCATGGATATTAAGAGGAAACTGCTCTGAAATGTGCTATGAGTACTCTATGTCTACAGGAACACTTTAGGGCTTCAAGAATCATAACATTTGGTAAAACAGTTGTTTTCTCTTTTTCTATTTGAATAAAAAGTTCAGAATGAAAAATGAGCTAAAATAATTACTTCAATGCGGGAAGACTTTTTACTGTTTTGTTTGCTGTAAGCTAAAGGAACCCCAGCATGATTTATGTCGTTAACACTACAAGAAAAGTTCAATTTCAAGCAAAATAAAACTTTAATTAACTTAAAAGAAAGATACATTGTTTTTACCTAAACTATTCCCCATTTCAATCAATCAAGCAGGCACTAGTGCCTCAAATGGAGCCATTAATTTCAGTTACAATTACAATTACCTACTGCATTTTAATATAAAAAATAAACAAAACTACCATAGAGATAACTCCTTCCCAAAAGGCTCCTTCTTTCTCTTGTCTTCTAGCCTGACTACACTAGTGGCACTTACTGCTCTCCTTATTTCAGATTATGTTGGATGTTTCTCTTCTCCTTCCCTTTCTACTCAAATGCCACACCTCTATTCTCTCCTGTTCTCCCATCTGATCCAGACATGAATACACTTCACTCTCCTACAGCCTGCCCAGAATTTTCACTCTGCTACCCAAGAGCCCACAGGATTATAACCCCCTAGTTGCACATAATCTTTCTATTCCCAACATGCTTTTCTTGTGCTCTCCAGCAAATTTCTGCCCTGCTCAAAGAGGACAGCATGGCATACTCAAAGAAAAATATGATGATAATTTTATCCTTTCTTAAAGTTATAATCAAGTATTAATTAAAATATTAAAAACCTGTGTCTAGCAATGTTGCCAGGTTTTGTTCAGTTCTCTACAAATAGATCTGACCCTTTACACCAGCCTTTGCTTTGCACCCACACAATATTCGCAGATATAGTATCTGCAAGCCAGACCCACCCTGGATCCAAATTCCTGCTGAGCTACAGAAATTTTTCACAAAATAAATTCTGTAGGGACAAAGCAGGAAAAAAAGTGTTCATTACAGCTTCAAGCACGGAGGAAAACAAAGAGGGCAAATGAAGTGTGAAGGTCACTTTCATCAAAGCTTTTAATCTTAACTTTTAAGAGAGTTACCTAGACACTCAAGTGCTAATGACTCTCCCTTCAGCTTCTGCATGTCATTAAATACCCCTTAGGCTTCCCTAAGATGGGGAAGAAGATGGGGAATGAGAGTCCTTGGACAGCTCATTTCATCAGGCTAGGAGGCAGCAAAAAGTACAACAAAGCACTCCTCATTTATCTTTCCTAAATGAGCAATCTTCAGTGAACTAATTTCTGCCCAGAAAAAGTCATGGTAAGAATGAGCAATACTTTTTGGGTTTTTCCCTATGCTGGGGGTCACCGCTATTTCAATCTAGTCTCATTTTGTAAAGAGAATTGTTATTGTTCCATCCAAGTGGATTCTGGGTCAGTATCTCCACAAGAAAGGCAGAGAAATTCATGTGTCTGCTGTCACTGTTAGCTACACACTGTAATGTATGCCTAACAAACTGGATCTGCTTTTCCTCCTGACTGGTTGCTGACAAGTCTGCTCCCTACATTTATCCAGAATGTTTATATTTCTCATTATCCCACTCTCAATGCATTGAAAAGGGCCTCTGGCTTCAGGACCACATTAGTGGAGACATAAACTACTGCAGGTAGTTTATAAGAGGTTACCAGCATATTCTGTTACACAGAATGTGATGGGAATTTAATGCATATATTGCTAGCGTTCATTAGACCTTCTTTTCCATCATCAGCACTTTTGCTGGCCTAAGAGGGCTGAAGGCACAAAGTAGAAGACCTTGAATTTCTGTCAGAGCCAAGATGTCTATCACTGGAAGATGAGAAGTCCTTTTTCTGAGGCAGGACAGAACATGACATTTGTTGATGCATTAGAATAACTAAGTCATAATACAACAACAAATGTCACAACCACAGCCTGACAACTTTGGGTCAGTGTCACCCAACATCCCATTACCATTTAAGAGGAAAAACAACTCTCAGCTTTGCAGTAGCTTTTCTTTCTCCCAGCACCAAGGTAAAGCAGGCACTCCTTCTGCAGCAAGTTAGAACACATCTTGCTGAGCCCTGGTCAAGGTTGGCCTTGAAGGTGACACACTGAGGGAAGGGCAAGTTACACACGGAGGAGAAAAGATACCAGTTCCCACCTCCTGCAGCCCCACACCCAGACACCACCAGCAGCTAATGGAACTCCCTGGCTCAACTCACTCAGTTGTGGCTGAGTGACACATAATGATGTCAGAGGCCCTCACAGTCCCATTTTTCTATTTTATTTTGTGAGTTAGTGAGGAAAACAGTGCCCTTTTCATACTCTAGCATTTGAGTTAGATGTACATATTCCCTTGGACCCAGGAAAGCTCCTGCTGTCTATTTCTGAATATTTCAGTATGTACCAGGTGCCTGTCTGATTACTCACAGCAGCTACCCTATCCCTGGGGCCTCCTGTCACCAGCTAACCTGTGGCTGGAGAGTCTCCAGGCATCACTCATCAGTGCCAGCATTAAATGTACAGGGTTAGAGAGTGCTGTGCAGTTGCAGAGATGCTCTCTGCCCTGGCCAATGACAGCTCTCCTGCGTATTGGGGGAGCTGGATGGTACATGGAGCAAAGGATCAGTCTGTTAGCAGCTAGCCTGATGGCAATGATTATAAGCACATTTGATCTCTTCACTGAAATACAAGTTTAAAAGAGCCTGTTTCTCACAGTGCCAGCTCTTACTCCCCTAAATGCCTCTGACACT